CCATATATGCAATATTGAGCTACGGTATGTGAGAACAGCAGGGTGTCAACAGACACGGGTGACAACTTGGAGCACATGGATATAAATGTGCAAATGCAAAGAATGGTATCTGAAAACACTGCAGATATGTCTATCTATAGCACATCCTGCAATATTTGTCCAATTGATTGTGAAGAATTATTTACTGCTTGCAAACCAATGATGGTAAGATGATGTTATGGGGTCGGACTGGATAAGTCTGACTTCTTCCTACTCCATTCAAGCATGTACAAGATATATGCAAATTGATATTGGATTCTGTGTAAAATTATGTGTGTTGTCATATCAACTGTTTTTACATGCTTGAAAGAATAAATCAAATCAAATCAAATCAAGATTTTACTCAAATGTATGAATCTGATTCTTGCTGTACAAATTTCCTACCCAGATTCACTTTCTACCTTCCACGCAATCAGGGTAAGCCTGGCTCCTGCTTCTGTAGACAATATCAAACAGCCAAGAAGGTATGAAGAGAAGAAAACAAAATTAACATATCACCACCGCTTAAAGTGATTTGCGTTTGCAAATTACTACATGATTGCGAATATAAACCAATGTCAAGAACTTAAAATAATTGATAAGTAGATGGTAAATAGTTGGTAAGACTTGATGCAGAAGATCTGCACATAGAAATAAACATACTCTGGCTCGTGTGTAGGTGTGTGGCAACCTCATATTCAGCTGTCCTCAGACTGTTGATTCATTACTCATTCCTCCCGTCATTATGAGCCATTTTATTACTCCTTTCAGTGAGGCCGATTTAACTTCTCTGACCACGAGCAGGCAGCCTGATTACAGTTATTATTTTTAATAAAGGGTATTGACTCTGGAATCATTTGGTCTTGTCTTGTGAATAACTGGTTATGCATGGCTAAGCCGCTCTGGGTTGGCCTGTATGAGATTCAATATCCGAGACAGTTTGGGTCTGAACTGTCCAAGACCCTGCTCCTCTATACAAAATGCAATCTGCTTGCAATCAGGACTGACACTACTCTTTACTGGTTGACAGAGCAAGCAAACAGCCCATGGTAACCCTAGATGGTGACAGGCACTGGTGGGCTCAGGCACGACAATCAACAGCCTCTAGTGAAGCTTTCCAGTGATGGAGAGCCTGTACTGTTTGTCGGACATATTCCGCTGGCTTTCAGAGAAGATGGAGAAGGCTATCTCAGATAGATCTGGAAGGTTCACTCTCACCCTAAATTAATTGAATGTCAGTCAAAGAGAAATAGAGGTTAGAGAGTACCTCGGACTTTTGTATTAGTGCAGTGGTGGCAGGGGGGAGGCTAGGGTTCACAAATCTATCCCTCAACTTCTCCAGAAAATTCCCTTAATCAGTGACAACATGGGCCAGAGAACATTGGGATAAATAAACACATTATCCCATGCAGTCAAGGAAAAAACAAATGAAGGATACAGTACACAAGGAGAGGTTTGTTAGCAACCAAAATCCTGGCTTCATCATGGAGCTCAACTGCAGTGAGTGAATACAAATAAAGGCTAAAGATATGAATGCCTTAATTTTTTTCTCTCAATACTTTTTCTATTTTTCTTATTGTCAGTACCAAAACCAATAATGTTTTAACCTTAATTTAGGCCTATTTTTGTCTACATGCCATACACTATTTAATGTTAACAATCACACAATGTAGTTCTCAGCATTTTATCAGATGAGAAATTATTGTCATGCATTTCTTCAGCTGTTAGCGATGACGCAAAATACCGATGATTAGTAAATGTCCAAAATCTCAATTTTCTCGTCACTATTGAGTGAACTGTTTAGTGTATATTATATAGGGAGTAGTGAATGAGTGCACAGGGAGAGATTTTGGGGTGGCTGTGGCTTAAGGGTAGAGCGGGTTCTTTCCTAAATGGAGGATTAACTGTTCGATTCCCAGATTGTCCAGTCAACGTGTCGAAGTGTTCTTGAGCAAGACACTGTTGCTCCTGGTGATAACACCGGCGTGTTAATGTGTGAGCGTTTGTGAGTGCGAATGGGTGAATGGCCAAGTAGTGTGAAAGTGCTTTGAGTGTGTTGAAAAGCGTAGAAAAGTGCTATACAAGTATAAAACCATTTACCATTTCAGGCACAACCACAGACGTGCACACCAGATCTCAGCTATGTGTCGTGCGGAGCCGTGTGTCCTGCATGCCGACTGGTTGATCCAACTCTGCTTTGAGACATACAGTGAGGAGCAGAAGTATTTGAACACCCTGCGATTTTGCAAGTTCTCCCACTTAGAAATCATGGAGGGGTCTGAAATTCACAGTGTAGGTGCATTCCCACTCTGAGAGACAGAATAAAAAAAAAAATTTCAGGAAATCACATTGTATGATTTTTAAAGAATTTATTTGTCTTGCACTGCTGAACATAAGTATTTGAACACCTGAGAAACAGCAAGAATTCTGGCTCTCAAAGACCTGTTACTGTGCCTTGAAAAAGTCCACCTCTACTCCACTCATTAATCTAAATTAGTAGCACCTGTCTGAGCTCTTTAAAGACACCTGTCCACCCCACAGTCAGTCAGACGCCAACTACTACTCACTCCTTGGTTATCCTGGCTGTGTGCTTTGAGTCGTTGTCATGAGCCACGACCCATCTTCAATGCTCTGGCTGAGGGAAGGAGGTTGTTGCTCAAAATCTCACAATAAATGGCCTCATTCATCCTCTCCTTAATACAGTGCAGACGTCCTGTCCCCTTCGCAGAAAAGCACCCCCAAAGCATGATGTTACCACCCCCATGCTTCACAGTAGGGATGGTGTTCTTGGGATGCAACTCATCCTTCTTTTTCCTCCCAACACGATGAGTGAAGTTTAGACCACAAAGTTCTACTTTGGTCTCATCTGACCACATGACTTTCTCCCATGCCTCCTCTGGATCATCCAGATGGTCTTTGGCCAACTTCAGACGGGCCTGGACATGTGATGACTTGAGCAGGGGAACCTTCCGTGCAATGCATGATTTGAAACCATGACGGCGTAGTGTTCTACCGACAGTGACCTTTGAAACTGTGGTCCCAGCTCTCTTCATGTCATTGACCAGCTCCTCCCTTGTAGTTCTGGGCTGATTCCTCACCTTTCTTATCATCAGTGATACCCCACGAGGTGAGATCTTGCATGGCGCCCCAGTTCGAGGGAGACTGACAGTCGTCTTTAGCCTCTTCCATTTTCTAACAATTGCTCCAACAGTTGATCTATTTTCACCAAGCTGCTTGGCAATTGCCCTGTAGCCCTTTCCAGCCTTGTGGAGGTCCACAATTTTGTCTCTGGTGTCTTTTGACAGCTCTTTGGTCTTGCCCATGGTAGTAGTTGGCGTCTGACTGACTGTGGGGTGGACAGGTGTCTTTAAAGAGTTCAGACAGGTGCTACTAATTTAGATTAATGAGTGGAGTAGAGGTGGACTTTTTCAAGGCACAGTAACAGGTCTTTGAGAGCCAGAATTCTTGCTGTTTCTCAGGTGTTCAAATACTTATGTTCAGCAGTGCAAGACAAATAAATTCTTTAAAAATCATACAATGTGATTTCCTGAAATTTTTTTTTAATTCTGTCTCTCAGAGTGGGAATGCACCTACAATGTGAATTTCAGACCCCTCCATGATTTCTAAGTGGGAGAACTTGCAAAATCGCAGGGTGTTCAAATACTTCTGCTCCTCACTGTAGCTGCCTGCTAACTGGTCTGCTAGTGCGTACTCACATCTCCGAAAACATTGGAGCAAATTTCTAAATTGTCATTACTTAGCTAGACTGACCACATGTTCTCAATCTAAACAGAAAAATATCATCATATAATAAAGTGACATAAAACCATTCCTAAGACAAAAATGATAACAGATTTAAGCCTGGCTCAAAATCTCCACCATTTCCATTTCCTGACTTCTTCTAGGTTTTCTGTACTTTGCAGTTTGAGAGCCCCCTAGTCAGAACATTAACGTTTGCCCAAGTATAAATGCAACAGCTCTGCAACTGTGTCAGAATGACCGAAACACACTTTCCCATAAGTGCAGTGATGCAGAAGTATAAATCTGGCTTTAGTCTGTCTTTCAATACTTCCCTACCCTGTCTGTGGCACTGAGACCGGAGCTGATTTGTTCCATGCAAAAAATGTACATTTTATATATAGTTTAAACACAAACAAATGAGTTACTTTCCTAAAGCAGCTGAGCACTTCAGTTTTCAACAAACATTAGTCTCATAAGTGTAAATAGTGTGTTTACAGGTGACTAGATTCAACCATGGATTGATGCACATTTTCTACAGTGGAGAGTATTTACAGCAGCAGGATGGTGTACTGTACTGTATGTGGGATTAACACAAAATAAACCTCACTGCCCACATTCACTGTAGCAGCATGTCACCCAGTCAACGGTTTGGCTCACTGATGTATTTTGAATAGTGGAGGTCTGTGGCACAGAGAAATACAATGTACACAGACACCTTTAAAGGGATTTGTTTACAATACAAAATATGCAATACTTCCAGACTTATTCTTTGTAAAGCTCTTTTGAAGCACAAACAGCTACTACTTATCCTAGCTACTCCCCATGTTATGCTAGATACTATGCAAATTAGATGCACTGAAAAGTAACTCCACACTAGATTTTGATGTGTGGAAAACCATAGTCACACTGGCCTCTTTGGGTTAAAAGGTACAAGCATGGATGCATTACAGACAGCTGGAAGTCACCCCTTTCCCATGTGTACTTTAGATCAGCCAATCACTGCAGCGGTTGGCTCCTGTCAGCATCTCTGTCATATCCTCCAAGATGTGTTGTGCTCACTTGACTGTATAGTAGATCTTATTTTAGATAGGCTACATAATTTCAAGGGAAAACTAGTTTGAGAACAAAACAATGCTGCCCAAACTAATTCAATACACAAGTATACAAATACACACACTGACTGAAGAAAATCATATTGATATAAAGTCAGTCAGTTCAAATCATATCAAATCAAATTTTACCTTCTATCTTGACATCATCTTCTGTCCTGGGTTGCTCTTTCTCTGCTGCAAAAAGGAAGCAAAGATGTGATGCTGGTTACACTAGACCCTCACAAGACATCAGTGTCTTTGGAGAATGTACCCACGTTTGCAAAAAGAAGCCATGTAGATCAGGACTAAATGTGTGAATATAGCTGCCTTGGTGTGTGAGTATGTTCTCTGAACTGTGAAGCTCCAGTGTTTGACTATTGTATGTTCAATCTGTAACAGTGCACACAATCTCAGCCCCAATTCCTCTGCTTATTCTGTGCTGAGATAAATTTGCATAGATTCCAACACTGACAGGAAGAAACAAACACACACACACACTCTACTGTGAAAAACTGTTATTGCGCATTTGTAGTGTTCCATCTCCCAACCATGTAATTTTAGATTGCTGGTAAACCAAAAATGTAAACATCGCCATTTTCATATTGTTATGCTGTCATTATGTCAAGCATCGGGATTTCATGCATTAAATTGACTTGTACATATCTGTCTGCCTCTGTGCCCTGTGGATATTTTGCCATGGTGAGAAAATACAATTAAATACAAGGAATTGATCACATGAATCATTTTCAGTTTTGTATTAAAATCTGTACATGACAGCTCGACAGCCCTTATGTACATACCTTTGTCTGCATCTTTATTTGTATTACTGTCGACGCCTTCATCTTCAGGTTTGTTGTTCATGTCTGCATCTTCCTCATTATCTTGGTTTTCATTTTTACTTGGATCCCTTTCTTGATTTGGCTCATTTTCTGAATTTTCTGTAGGAACACATACATTGGAATATTAAAAAAGTACGTTTTTTTTGTTCAGGCACAGGGCTTCAAAGTCTTCACATCGAACCCTGTAACACATGACAGACAAACAAGCCCATACTTTTATGGCTGACAAAAATCTCTCAGAAACATTTTCACACCAACAGGTTGCTTTTTTCCCGTTTGAAAGGCATAGGGGTTGTCAGGGAAGAAGGAAAAACTGCCAGATACTAAAAAAGCCATCTTCAGAAGAAAAAGTGCTTGATTTAGTATAAATGTAGTTTTCTACAACAGCTAACTTATAGTATTTATTTTGGAAGCAGTTTATATATAGAACTTGGCTTAATGGTGGGTTGCTAAATAGTCACCATTTGCTAGGGTGTGGTTTGTTAAGTTCCAGTAAATTCTAGTCCTAGTGCTATATAATACAGTACAGTATTGGTAGTTGGAGTGTTAAAAGAATAGCACCTGCGGTAAATAAAGATGCTAATAAAGCTCTGTGCATAAAGATTATTTGTAACAAAGTACCCAAGACGTTGTATTGAACAACACATTGATCTGTGGTCTCTAGTTTTCATCTGCAATATACAAACAGACAAGAATGATGCAAGTGCTGCATTTTTGGAGGAATTAGCTTGCAGGTGTTGTTTTTAAACTGTATATCTCTGCTCCTCCTAGGTCCTACCTTTCTTTTTTCTGCCTCATGAGAAAGTAATCACATATTTTAGGTCTTGGATCGCATCCCAGGGCTGCATTTGCTATAACTCTCTCAGAATATCTACAAAATTCATGTTCAGAGAGCCCCTATCTGTCAAATCTTTGTCAATGAAATGGAATTTGAATAAAACAAAAACATCAGAGAGGCAAGGCACTGCTCACTGCCAGTATGCAAATGCAGAATCTTAATTATACACCAGCAGCACAGAGGACTTCCAGAGGAAGAGAAATGGTTCTAGCTCAAAGTTCAACACACATTTACCTACTCAAGTCACTTAAGTCTCTCACCATCAGCACAACACAACACACCAGAGTCAGGTGATCTGTTACACAGGTGCCTTTAGCTTTATACAACCCCAAATCAGAATAAGTTGGGATGGTATATAACATCAAAATTAAATCTGAAAATAGTGATTTGTAAATCACCTGTGTCCTGTATCACATTGAAAACAACACAACAGCACAATATTTGAGGTGATGCCTCATCAATTTTAGTCTGTGTTCCAAATAAACACTGGCTTATTGTTATTCTGGTATCTGCAACACATTCCAAAAATAGTTGGGACAGTAAAATGTTTACCATGGTGCGATGTTGCCATTCCTTTTCACACCTAAAAGATGTTTAGGGAAATACTAAAATAAAATGCAAAATAATATTCATAAGGTATCATCAAACAATGTGCTGCTGTATTGTCAATGTAATACAGGACACAGATGATTTACAAATCACTATTTTCAGTTTTAATATTGATTTATATACTGTACCAACCTTTTCTGATTTAGAGTTGCATACTACTTATGCCTCTGTTACTAACGAGACTGATAAGTGCAGATCTTTAATCAAACTTGAGTGTAAGTGAAAACCAGATCAATGAGCTTCATGCTGCTCAGCTCATACAGTCCCCATTTCCTTTAGGGTTACCAGATCACCTTGCAGCTCCTTCCCTCTCAGTTAATGATGTGTAGAGTAGTGACAATTTGCACACTGAAAATTACAGACAGTCACAGCCCTGTCCATGCTGGAGCTTCGACTTGTATCTGCATTGTACCTGGGTTTAGACTCTCCATATCATTTTCCGCAGGATCTAGAAACAGAAGAGGAATTCAAAAGAACATCAAGCATTTGAGTTCAGCGATAAAGACTGGAGTTGAATTGACTTCGTTATCACCTCAAATAGCCTTTTCATTTCATCTCTTTGTGTAGCATTGTCTTTGTTACGATAGCAATGGAACCACAAAGACTTGCATAAATTAAGTGACAAAAAAGACGGGAAAAAGGAATGTCACTTCTAAAACCATACATAATTAAGGGATTTCTTTGTTCCAAGCCACTGTGATAACAGAGGTTTCTTTGTTAGAATGTTGGCACACAGGGTGGAAAAACTGAACTGCAGCGAATAGAAAATTCAATTTTTGATGACAAATGACATCAAGAAGCAGCAGTAGAGCCGAGAGGCTCAGAACATGTGTTAATGATCCGTAGAGCTACATTACCATTGTTGCCCTCTTCTTCTTCTTCACCTGTTTCCTCTTTACCTGAAAAAGGAATGGGAAGGAATCATCAGCCAAACACAATTATGCATGGGGAAAATGCCAGTCATTAGTTCTGAAAAACAAAAGCACCAGTCACACTAATGATCACAAACTGTTCATCTCCAGGTAAAGGTTTCATCTTGCGAGAGCTGGCATCACATTTTAACTTCCTGTCTAGGTCATGTTCACTAGCCTCACTTTCATAATGTGATTTTACACAGAGATGCTCTCATTAGCTGATCAGAAAATCTGCCATGTCACTGGTAAGGAAACCTGCTACTACTCTTGCTAATAAGGTTTCAACAACACCTTATTTTGTAGAAAATATAACAGTTTGCTGATCTTTGACATTTGTTAGCTTTGAGCTACATGACAAACATAACAGTTACAGTATATCTTTGTTACTAGATGGTCTGAAATGTGTAGCAATGCCAACTAAGTCCATGTGGGATATTTACTAAACCTGTCGTAAATTACCATCAGGTGCGAAAAATATTGCAGCACTGCAATTTTTTTATTTAGCAGCGTATTCACCAACAGTAATGGTATAAAAGAGCACAGTTGCAGCAGTGTTCATTTGAATACATCTCTGCTTATATGGACCTGGTGCCTGTATTGTGCATGTGTAGAGTGAGATGGCTTGCAGAAGAACGTGCAAGTTTATTGCTAGTAAATTTACTGTTGGTTGTAGAAACCAGCAAACATATTTCTAAGTGCAATCAGGTAGTCTTGTGCCAGTCAAATCATCTTTCATGTTGTGTAATCAAAGAAGGGTATAACCTGAAACCCCCTCACATTCTCCTCTGGCTTCCCAAACAGAGAGATGCGTTTTACAAACATCCTCTCCTTCCTCAAATGTGTTCTTAACACTGATGACATCTCAAATAAAGAACAGCTGCCATGCTGACAGCAGTGCTGCAAACTTTAAACCTACTCTCTCTTGACATTTAATTTCAGCCGCAATTCCCTCTGCCACAGTGGTGGTAAATCAGCCATTGAGGCTATTTGTATAAATTTCCATTCCCTCTTCTCTTATTTTTCATCCCGGAACAAGATCATCTTAAAATACATATTCCATGAGACCAAGTGCTCAACTTTCACTGATTGAAAGTGTGTGCTGATCAGCTGGCCCCCATCTTCACACTTATCTTCAACAGGTCACTGGAGCTGTGTGAAGTCCCCTCCTGCTTCAAATGCTCCACCATCATTCCAGTCACCAAGAAAACCCCCATCAGTGGACTGAATGACTACGGACCTGTTGCCCTGACATCTGTAGTTATGAAATCCTTTGAAAGACTGGTGCTGGCCAACCTGAAGGACATCGTTGACCCCCTGCTGGACCGCCTGCAGTTTGCCTACCGGGCAAACAGGTCAGTGGACGATGCAGTGAACATGGCAGCATTACATCCTGCAACACCTCGACTCCGCACGGGCCCTCTTTGTGGACTTCAGCTCAGCTTTCAGCACCATCATCCTGGACATCCTCCACTCCAAACTGACCCAGCTCACTGTGCCTGCCCCCACCTGTCAGTGGATTACTAGCTCTCTGACAGACAGGAAGCAGCAGGTGAGGCTGGGGAAAACCACATCCAGCACCCGGACAATAAGCACAGGCGCCCCCCAGGGATGTGTGCTCTCCCCTCCGCTGTTTTCACTCTACACCAATGACTGCATCTCGAAGGACCCCTTTGTCAAGCTCCTAAAGTTTGCAGATGACACAACGGTCATTGGTCTCATCCGAGACAATGACGAGTCAGCCTACAGATGGGAGGTTGAGCAGCCGGTCCTGTGGTGTTGCACATTGAAAGCCAATGTACCAGAGTCAAATTTCTCGTGTGTCCGTCACACCTGGCCAAAAAAGCTGATTCTGATTCTGATGCCACTTTTCTTCTTTTTCTGGCGCAAAACCAAACTGTGACTCCTTGGTAAAAAGAACACATGCAATTTCCCTGTATAGTGTCAAAACATGAGCTGAAAAACCTTGGTCAGTATCCCACAATAGTCTACAGTCATTCAGTAGCTCTGTCAGTGCTTTGAGCTAAGTGCTAACTTTAGCTAACCAGCATGTAGTGATATTGCAAATGTGCTGATGTTAAAGGGTAACAGTGTTTACTATGTTCACTGTTTAGTATGTTAGTAATTTAGTAGCTGTATCTAATTTACATGGAACATGCAGGTGAGGCTGATGGCAACATCATTAGTCTTGCAAGTCATTGTTCATAAACCCCAGTATTGGAAAAATTAATACTGTAGCCAGCATGGCTAAAAATATTAGAAATATGATACTTATAGTGGCCTGAAAAGTATCAGTACTAAAGTATCAGTACTAAATCTACATAAATCATCATTTCAGAGAGATCCATAAAATAACTTGTATAAAAATGGCTTCTGCTCTCTACACATATCAGTGGAAAATTACACTCATCATACAGTACACTACAACTACCGACCCATTGTAACACCAGAGCAAAATCTATCTAATGTATGCACAAAAGACGGTTTTTAGCAGTGACATAAAACAACTTAAATCCCTACATCATATTTTTTACCCCCACCGTCCTCACCCCCTATTATCACTCTCACACATTCTTATGCACACACGCGCACACACACACATAAAGCAGTGACATTTGGGACAAATTGAGTAAATGAAAGCCATGACACCAATAAGAGAACATGCTCCACAATGGCTATTGTGCTGCTTCCATAATTGCTTTTTTAACAAGCTGCAGAGAGAAACCATTTTTTCATATCTATGCAATTTTGCCCTGCACTCAGAACAATAAAAATGCCAGCATCTATTAAATGGGAAAAGGGCCAGTTCTACCAGTGCTGCATGTTTGTCTCAAGTGCCTGTGTCCATCACACAGAATGTTGGTGACACACAGTAGATGGCAATCCTTTCTATTAATCAAGACTGGCATTTTGAGATGGAGGCAGAGGCAGAGGACTGAAAAGAATACTTCATTGGGAAAAGCAGGTTAAGATGAATTCTTCTTCAACCATTAGGTCACCCTAAATCTTTCTTCTGCTTTTCAGAATTATACATGACTGCTGTATCTGTCTAAAGCAATCCCAAACAACAATATATCAAATATGACAATGGGCTGAATGCAATTTCCTCCCTGTTATTTGATCATTCATATTTGGATTATTGAATGGAACAGTATTCAATTTGTGATAGAGAATGCTAAAGGATCGACTGTGGATAAACAACCACATGCACACACAGACACCAAAAGATTCTATGTAGGGCAGATGTGATTTATAATGGCTTCAAGTTCAGTTCAATTAGAACACTCTCTCCAAAATAAAAAACCAGCCAGCACCTCCATCAGGCTGCTTACTCATCCGCTCCAAACAGCAGGTGGCAGCATTGTCACAGCTTTCGTATCTAATACACGCTGTCTTTACTGTGAAACTGGTTCTGAAATACTTCACACAGAATGGCTCCAGCCATGGTCCACACCTCAAGACTTCTTGCAAAAGTCTCCCATGGATTCCACTTTTAAAAAATATATAGCGGCACAAAGGGCATTTTTGGTATTAACCTGCACTTCTGTTGAATAAGCAATGGCAGTGTAGTAATCTGCTGAATAAAATGTTGAGTCTCACACACACACAAATGTTTTATTTATGTCAACAACGGATTTAGAGATACAGTATCACAGGGACATAAACAATTTAGATACAGATAGGAAACATCATACTTGCATGACCACAGAGTACATATCAACTACAGATGGTGTTTCCTAGGAAATAATAGCCTTATCTTATATTCAGGAATTAATAGAAATGTGACGAAGTTGACTCGCAACATACACATGCACACACACACACACACACACACACACAAAGAGCAAGAGTCCTTCATCTCTTCCCTAGCACCTGTCTTCTGTTCCATCCACTAAAGTTGACTGCAGCAAATGACAGAAAAAAAAGGGGTGCGAGGTTGGAAAATTCACGAGACGTAACAGAAAATTGCTCTGAGATGACCAACATCATTCAAAGACCTTTTGCATATGTGTGAAATATGTGTGTGCAAGCCAAGTGCAAGTGTGTTTATGAGCCATGCTTGACGGGGTGCCACAGTGAAAAGGATGGCATCTCATGGAGCCACTCTCCCTGTCCACACATACCATACAGCACAGTTATTAATCTGAATGTCCATCCACGCATGGTGCCATCTCTCATCCTCAGGTCTTTCCCAGAAAAACCTCAAGCATGCCAGGCCAACAGACCCTGCCAGACATTGATTTCTGGCTCAATATTCACATTTTACTTTGCCAAGTGAAATCCACTAATCTCACTAATGCTAATCTGATATCAAATAATAGACACTGTGGGACTGCTTGCCAACTCAGGTGTGCTCTGAAGAGGCTACACCCTACCCTGAACCTCTGCACCAGCATTTGGCTCTGTCTCACCCAACCTTTTCTTCAGCTTCTTTGTCTTCCTACGTCTCACAGCATTTGTATGCTGTGCTTCTGTTTTATGTGGACAATATTACAACATAGCTCATCTCACACACGGTTGATCTGTGACCATTTTTTGCTAATACACTTTGGGTTATTTGTTGAGTTGCTTTATTTTGAAGAAGAGTTGACATACTATTTATTAAATCTGAACAACTCCTGGGTTCAACCAATTGCATTCAAATTAAATTTGAAAAAAATGTCTTGTGAATGTGAACCATTCATTACACATTTATAAGATCATTTTAGCAATTAAGGTGCATTTCCACCAGAATGCTTTATGCTCCATGGAGACTCGGCTCAGTGACTCCATCTTGGAAAGCACAATACAAATATTGGGATCCCAGGTATACAGAGCAGATCTTGTAACGGAGTTATCCTGGAAAACAAGAGGAGGCGGAATCTGCTTCTACATAAATGAAGGTTGGTGTAAAGATGTCACAGTGTTAGGAAGAACTTTCATCATGGGTTTAGGCTCTTTTCATCAACTTCAAACCATTTTATTCTCCCAGAGAATTTTGTCATTCATTCTGGTTGGAGGGTATATAAGACCATAGGCCCAGCTAGCACACTATAGCACTTGGCCGACCAGATAACTAGCATGGAACTGAAACATCCCGACTCACATCCTCACTCATTGTTCTAGGGGAGTTTAACAGAAAGCATGTCAGTTGTCCCACCAGGGACAAAAACACACTGCACCACTGCTACTTGGCAATAAAAGACACCTATTGCTCTGTCCCCTGTGCAGCCCTCAGACTCTCTGATCACTGAGTAGTCCATCTCATTCCAACCTATAGGCAGACACTTAAAGCTGCGAAGCCTGTGGTCAAAGCAGTGAAGAGATGGACCGAGCAGGCAAAGTCAGAGCTACAGGCCTGCTTTGACTGCACAGACTGGAGTATATTTGAGACTATGTCTACAGACTTAGATGAACTCATTGCTGCTGTGACATCATACATTAGCTTTTGTGAGGACATGTGCGCCCACCAAGACCTTCTGCACATACATCAACAAGCCCCGGTTCACAGTAAAACTAAAGCAGCCTCATCATGCCAAAGAGGACGCTTATAGAAGTGGGGACATGATCCTGTACAGGCAGGCCAGGAACACAGGAAGTTTATGCTTGTTTAACAGTTTTTTTTACTCTCAGAGGTATTACTGCATGCACAGTAACAAGCACAGAGATTTGTTAACTCCAAGTAATGTTTCACTTCAGCCGATGTCATGCTCTCCTCCTCAGCCTCTGCCCGGAGTAACTGAGTTCCACCCTCAGGTCAAACACCAAAACTATATTTTTCAATTCATTAATCTGTGCAGAGTTTGCATGTTCTCCCTGTGCCTGCGTGGGTTCTCTGGCTTCCTCCCACAGTGCAAAGACATGCAATATAGGTTGACTGGTGACTCTAAATTGCCCCTAGGAGCCCTGTGATAGATTAGCGACCTGTCCAGGGTGTACACCCTGCCTCTCGCCCAGTGTCAGCTGGGATTGGCTCAAGCCCGCCTGCAGCTCTATTCAGGAATAAGCGGTATAGATAATGAAAGGATGGATGGATGAATTAATCTCATGAATTAGTGTCTTCATGTAGGCCTACTGATACAAACTGAGAACCCAAGGAACTTGGAGTCATTTTGCATCAGTGTACCCAAATCAATTTTCACATTGGTGCACACTGATCTTTACTCACACGAGTGAAATGCTCTCACCGTAGAGCCCTGTATTTGACCAGTCAGCAACATTCAGCACTGCAAGCCTTGTTCTGACAGAGGCCTGCCTTCCAACTAGGTACTTTCTGAGACAGGTAGGACTATACCCTGGAACTAATTTAGATCTTGGTTCCTCAGATGGAAACACAGGCAGAGGAACTACATTCTGAAAAAGGTTCCTGCTCCCCAGGGAAATTTTCTCTGGTGTAAAACATAACTTTATAAAGGATCACAAGAAACAACATGATAAAAGCAAAGACTAGTGAAAAACATTTGAAAAAAAACAAACAAGGAAATCAATTTAAATACACAGTCACATACATACACTATGATGTAAGATGTGTTTTGATGAAGCTGCTGTGTTGTTTGAATGGTTAGTTTTACCACAGGTTATGTGCTGTTTCATACTGTTGGATGTTTCTGGAAATTGTGTGCTTTTTGTTTTTTTGTACTATTTTCTTCCATCACTCTGCAGATACTGAGGAAGCATTGTGCTTCTGTGGCTACAAAACAATTGTAAATGTAGCGGTTGTTGTGTGTCTGTCTGTGTGTGTGTGTGTGTGTGTGTGTGTGTGTGTGTGTGTGTGTGTGTGTGTGTGTGTGTGTGTGTGTGTGTGTGTGTGTGTGTGTGTGTGGGGAGGGGGCAGAGCAGCCCTACTGTATCATACAACAACAGTGGATAAAGCCTTAATGTTTTCTCTTCATCACTGGTGTGGCTAAAAGCCCCTCATGCCTGACCTATGGATTAGGATGAGTGAATCCCCCGAGGAAAGAGATGGATGTGATGGATCACACTGAGGCATACTGTCAGACACACTCCACCAATCCTGCTGCACAGTGCAATTTATTCTAAAAAGTGCTCCACATATTGACTACACCAAACAGGTGACCTGCTTTGCAGGCTTTATAGACATGCTGGTGAATAGTGTACAGTCTGTTTTTGTTGAAAAAGATCTTACATAGGTGTACAGAAGTGGTTTGAAACTCTCAAGCGTTGTACTGTATAATGTCTGTCTCACATAGCTGTCTGTTTTTGTAGCTTGCGTTTCCTTTGCTCAGTGCTATCTTGACATCTGAGTGTTTCTTATGATTAATCCTTCCTATGTGCTGTATCGACCCAGACCTAACCTTTACAGTGCAGGCAGTACCAAATCATTTCATTCCCTTCCTGTGAGAGAGGTTGTCTCAAGGACTGAGTGTTCCCATGCTAGAAAGCTGTGCCAAGGCCTTTTGTGAATGGATTAGTTACTATTAAGCTGCCAGGCCTGATAAATTAGGATTTATAAAGATTATTACAAAATACTTATGCTCTCCTAATGCTGGTGATTGAATTTGTGAATCATATTGAATTACTGTTGCGGATTATGGAAAGGTATTTTGAATCGACGGGGGAGAAATTACTTATTGTGCTTTGTTTAACAACACAGAATGTATTGATGCCCTTGAAGTGACTGTTTTCCCCAAAGAAAACAACCATGACTGCTATCTTCAAAAAAATTGCCTACAACCTTAAGGTTTGAAGACAAATGGATGGTGTATGGCTTTAATTGTCCACTAACACCCTCCAGTGTAAGAATCTAATTATCTTTGGTCCATCGTATCGGAGAAGCCTATAATTGTTTCAATATTACACATCCAAAGGGGCTGAAACTGCAGAATAGCCAGATAATGGCTTCTTAAACAAGTTTGCCTCTAAGAAAACATTCTTTTAAAAAAGACCAAGCTTCATCTTGTATTCATTTCCCCAAAGAGAAACTTGGTACCAGAGAAAAAGAAATTACTGACCAACACCGACACTATTTCTTCATACATAGTAAACACATTTTTCTGGATATCAAAGCACATTGTTCCCTCATTGTTCAAAACAAGCAGTCATCCTTAATAACATTATAATACACAACAAATACACACATCTATAAACACACTCACAATTAAGCATACCTCTGTTGCTATCTCCACTTTCTTCATTGGCTGTGGATTCTGAGCATGGTGGTGTGTTATCTGTAAACAGACAAAAACAAACAGTGATTTAGAGATGCAGGAGAGGCATACCTTTATTTCCCAACATCATTAGGATGCAAAAGACCTGACAGCTTGTCAATTTCAGCTTTTAGATGGGGCATGCTGTGAGTAACGATGACTTTTGGCAAGTCAGACTCATTGTAGCAGTGATTATTCCACCATGGCTGGTCTGTCTGGGCTGACCACACTGCAAGAGCCTGTGGGACAACTCGATGACTCTTGCATTATTTTGTTGTATACCTGGCTGACAAAAAAGCTCCTATGGGAGAGAAGGGAAGAATGTGAGGCTTTTAGACCAACTCCAGAGCACAGTCTGGAACAAAAGCACTATTCCATGTGAGAATGGCAGTCATTCGAATCTGTGAATAGGCTCCAAGCAGCACTGATTCAAACTCTGGCTGATGGAGCAGAACAAAAGACCAGTCCTTGGCATCAGCGCAGAGGCCCATCAAACAAGGCCCAACTGGACCAGGGTAGGGCTGGCATGATGATACAACAGAGCTAAGAATTATCAGGGGTTATTTCAGTTGGCTCGTTATGGTCTGGTGCTATGTTATTATACTGTATGCAGTGTAAAATGGCTGGTAAGGAACAGGAAAGAAAACCACACAGACACTCGGGTGCTAACAATAGTACAAGCTCTCAAACGCACACACTTTTCACTCTGAAACATCACATTTTACAGCGCACGTATAAAATATCCCCTTTAAGGTTCACCCAAAATGGAATCTCACTGAAAACACAGATCTGTGTAAGGGAGGAAAAAATTTGACAGCACCCAGTAATTTGAACTGTACCTTCAACAGACAACAAAACTAACATTGTTCTCTGCTTATCCACTTGCACGTGTACTGTGATGTCTTTGTGGGTTACAGCAATTAGACCTGGAAAGGCCCTACACTGAATCCGCTCATACTTAGAAAGAAACCTTGCCATCAGGTCCCACTGTTCTTTAGTGAAAACTGCTAGATGCAGTATATTTTATCAAACATGTCATACATTTTTATTTTTTTGTTAACCAAGGAAAAAAAGTACCTGCAGCTAAATTCTATTGTTCCTGCTATTTAAACACGTGTTTTTGTTGTTGCTGCCGTTGCTTATTCAGGACATCAGTGCACAGACAAATGTCAATAGTTTATCCTGATAAGCACTATCTGGGAGTTTCAGGCAGCGTGCCATGATGGTGTGCTGATAAAAGCTTTATGTGCTGACAGTTGTGTTTGTGCTATCGCCCGGCACACGCCATGGAGGGATGTTGCTCTGCTCTTTTTTTTGTCACTCGCTTTAGGTGGTCTGAAGTCATTGTGCTCATAAACCGGTTGAAGAGAATTGTGTTGGGAATTACAGTAGCTGTGGATATAAGCTTTTGTAATGTAATGTATTTGACATGAAGTATTTTTAACTGCAACGTGTCAGATTCGGGATTCGACTTGTCACCAAATGAATAAACATTAAATTTCATCCGCTGCATAAAACCGAGCAAATCACTGTCAGGAGCTACAGCTACGCTACTCACTCAGCTTCTCTGTGCTTTAATGGAGGTGTTAATGTGAAAAGGCAACCATGAAATATTCTGTCACTCACCTTCCTTCAGCTGCTCCTCTGCAACCTCCGTGTCGTTGTCTGGCAAAAGATGGGAGAAAGACAGTACATCACACCGTGCTAATGCAAGATACAGCAAGTTATCAGAACTTGTCTCCCTGATTATAAGATTAGAGCACAGCATTTCAATGCCACACTGCTGTGTGCTTTGTCTGCATTAAATCAGTCAAATAATAAAACTAGAACCTGCAGTGTTCCTCAGAATCTGACCGAAATATGAACACAACACACAAAGTCTTCCTCAGTTCCCCCACCAGATGGCCTTGGATGTAACAGGTTATTACACCAAATAACTGTGCATGCAGGTGTATGTTTTGCAATTAAATCTGTACTTGTATAAATAACACCAAACTACCAATTTCCTCAAATGTTAGAGGGACTGCAGGCCCCAGGTGGACGACTATGTCTGCAATCCTTTGATTTTCTCTCCTTTTCTCTATACAACTATGCGAGACAGTCTGAGTGAACTAGTAGTGTTTCTGGGTGGATTAACTGATTTGCACAATGGGAGTTTAGAAGGTGGGCTTGGATGCTGCTTCAGGAGGAACTGCAGTGTGAAAAATGAGGAGAGAAGAACAGCGGATGCCTCCTAATGGCTCGCAGCTCCTATCATGGAACTACTGTACACACTCATACATGCTCAGATCTTGCACAACTCAGCATTCCTCAAGAAACTTTGAGTCATGTCACTATATACTGTGTACAGTATATAAATGCCTGCATTTTAATGTGCACACGTCATAGTGTATGAACACACTACTCAGTATGAGTGCAGTGCGTATGTTTAAGCACGAGTCTGAGCAATGATTGCACTGTGGTTAACAAGGAAAAGCAAGCGTTAGCTGTGATGAAAGGCTGTTGTCATCTGTTCTGTAGAAGTGTAACCATCAGAGCTCCCTGTGGATACAGCGACAGGCTTTTCTTTTGTATAACATTGAACAAAAGGGTACAGTGCATTAATCTAACCCTGCTTGGAGAAACAAAGGAAGACCCGCTGATACAGTATAACAATAGTGCAAGAATGGAAACATGGGGTTTCTTGGTTACTGCCACACACTATAACATTATTACCACTGCTCAACATTGTCAACATGGGAAATGTATGTGTTTTAGTCTTAGAGTAACAATATGTGGCACCTTTCTTTTGCTCTCTCTTTTTTGGAGTGAGGAGAACAGTCACATGTTTAGATTCACAAGAGAGAATCAAACAAAATGGCTTGTTTGATCTTGGGATGAACAAATACTACTGTGATATGAAAACAAATGAGAACCTATCAGCTGTTCAGTAGTTTGACATTTTGGGAAAGTGCTCTTTTGCTTTCTTTCTGTGAGCTAGATGAGAAGATCGATGCCACTCTCCTGTCTGTGCGCAGTGTAGTTTAGCATCAATACTGGAAACAGGAATTAGCTAGCCTGGCCCTGTGCAAAGGTAAAACCATCCACTTACCAGAACCAATCTAAACCTCATTTAAACTTGATTTTGGAGTTTAGTATGAAATAAACAAATGAGATATAGAGTAATGTGTTTATTAGTGAGTTGCTGGTATGCAGATCTTCTTTAGAAAACTTTGGACACAGACAGAATAGACTGATATCAATCCTTTCATCTAACTCTTGGACAAAGATTTTTTCTGCAAATCCTTGACAAGAAACTGAAAGAACTATTCCTTTAGGTCACATTTTTCACTCACCTGTTGAAATAGCTTGCTATTAAGTGAGGGACAGTCAGGACAGAGTTAGATTTAAAGCTTTAAGCTGAATTGCATTACACCAAGTTCTAAACCTCTAAAATATCAAAGTCTAGACATGTCTAGCCTGTACTGTACGTGATGCTATGTAGGTAGTGAGCATATGTATTGTGCATTGAACATTTTCACATATTAAGCGCTAAAGCTGATCTTCATATTTGTTAAAGCTGACAGACTCTGAGCCAGAGTGCTCGCTGGCAGTCACATCACTAACACACTATGGTCTGCTCATTTTCCTGCCCCGAGGGATAGCCTTGTGAAACCGACACAGACTTCATTTTCACCCTTCACAAGATTCTTGAAGCCCTTCATATCCTCTGTCAACAAATTACATGGGCGCAATAGAAGTGTGTGTACACTAGAGCTTTACTTCTTCCAGAGCAGCGCGGTGCTGAAAGGATGCTTCGATTATGGACGTTTGGGGGCAGGAGTTTGGGTTGTGGGGTTGGAAGTGTGGAGTGTATTTTAGAGCCATGTAAATAATGTCATTTGGAAAGTCAGTGAAACAGTTGGGGAGAATGCAGCAGCTCCTGCTGATCTGTGTGCTGCGTTAATATTGTCAGCACTGTGGCTGACTGAGGAGAAGAAGAGATGGAGCCCAGCTTGTGGGCAGCCACCTGGATCATATTAGTGGAGCAGTGCACCCAGCATCAATTTCAACATGATTTTACTCTACAACCACAGCTGCCTGGCTGCTTCTGTGCTTGCAAATAATATGTGCTCAGGCAAGCATGTGGTCAATCACAATCTATGAACAAATTTGAATACTTGATAGAATCATGTCATATGATTAATTGCATTTATTAGGCTCTATATATTAATCAATTAATGCTACCTTATTCACTGTAACTCCTTTAATTTTTCTGGCTGCTTCTAGGTGTGTATATTCCTTCAAATGATGCAAACACTGGTGAAGCTCTTAACCAGATAGTGATACTGTCACAGCACCTTTGAGATGTGTATAGTTTATGGCATTTCAAAGTAATGAATATGTCATTATATCTCTGGTTATGAGCTCAGTTGGCGAGGAGGGTAATGGATGATGAATGGTACTATAAAGGTAAAAGCGTAACATGTAGCTACTTAGCATTATGTTGCCTGTGTGTGTGTGCCTGCTATCCCCCAAACTGTAGGGACCAAAACCTGCTTACACACTGACATTGTGGGGACTTCCAGATGCTGGTCCCCACAATGTAAATCTTTGAATTTTAGGATGACAACTAGGTTTAAAGTTAGAATGAGGTTAAGTTAGGAGAATTTTCTTTTCAGTGCCATTGTGATGCAGACATTTTGGCATTGTCAGGACATTTTAGCCAGTCTTCACAAATTCAGAGGGTTGTTTCAAGGTTAAGATTTAGTTGAAGATTGGTCTTAGGTTTAAGTTATGTTAGGGGTCAGGGTAAGGACTGAAGTTAAGCATTCAGTTGTGATGGATAAGTCTAGGGTCAGGGGCCAGGGAATGCATTATGTCAATGAGTGTTCGGAGCTGGGAATGATATCACACCCCAGTTAACCGTGTTCAAGTAAACCATGTCAGAAAACCACCATGGACAGGGTTTGCTGCTGTTAGGCACTCTTAGCCACTCTTGGCAATACTAGTTTATAACAACGCATTATACAATGTCAGCACTTACAAATATCGTAGGAACAGCCAATAAACAAAAATGGGATGTTACAGTTTGTCCGACTGTTATAATAAGACACAAAAAAGGCAGAAGTGCTAATAAATGGTATATTACTACAGCTTTCACAATTGTTGATGCGTGGTGCAGCCATCTTGGATTTTAAAGTTGGGGTTGGTGTGGTTCCTCTGACTTTCCGAGAAGGAATTCTGACTTCAGGGGTGATCCAGTTGAAGTTTCCAACTGGGAACTGAAAAATTTGACTTCAACCTTCAAATGGAACGTAGCATAAATAACTAAAGTGCTCCTTGAGCTGGTGCTACATAAAAAGACCTTTGTGTGTTTGTGACAACTCTATCATTACTTATCAAACAGCTGTTCCACTGGTGAGTCTGCTTTAACACCAGGCAAATGAAAAATACAATAAATCTGCAGTCATATGTTCTAAAGTTACGTTCTAATGTTTCACTCTTTTCTATGTATGCGTTTATGAGTTGTGGCTGATGTGCATGCTATTTTTCCAGTTTCCTCCGATTGTGGAGATGTAACCATATTTCGATCCTCCCACAGTGACACACTGTAATAAAGCAATTTCCTGTATGCAAATGTCCTGTTTACACAGTCCTGCTCCAGTCATTGTCACTTGACAGATTGCTTGAATATGAGGAAAGCAGCTATACAATGAAAAATGGGAATGGTAAGATTTCAATAAAAACCTGTTCTGTTCTCTCTCAGCTCTAGACATTAGACATGCTTAAAACTCACAGGGAAGATCCTGAGTTTCACATGACCATACATATATATAAATTACAGAAGGATGATGAAGCACTATTTACATCAGCTCCACAATAGCTTATTGATAGAGGAAGTGGTGGAGAAGCTCCTCTTTGATATAATATGCAAGAATGATAGAAAGTGGAAGGATGAAGTAATGGGCAAGTGACACGGCAACAAAGCAAGGTGTAAGGGAGAATGAGCGAAGAAGAGAGCGAGAAAGAACAGTGAGTGCTGATGTGACAGAGGGTTATTGAAACCGAGAAAATGTTGCAGGAGGCAGAATAGGCCTCTGTGATGCATTTGCCACAATATCTACCTGACTGTCTCTAGCAGTGAGGTTAGATGAGATGTTCTGAACGTGCGTGAGCATACTTGCAGAGCTAATTCAAAGCCTCTGATTCACTACTGCCACTCTGTGCAGGCTAAATGCAAGTTTTTCACACCGCAGAGCTATGCATTCCCTACATGGTATAATCATATCAATCAGTATTTCAAGCACACCTATAAGCTAAGTTAAACTCATCACATGACTGGATAAAACACATGAACTCAATCCCTGACCTTAGAGTCTACTCTAGAAATCTCAGCACCAGTAAGTAGAGTATCTTTGAGTTCTTCCTTAAAAGAGCTGTTGTTTTCAAAGGGGCTATGGTAAAAGCTTTGAATATGAGGTGAAAGACTGGAGCAGTTGTAGGTGAATGTGGTGTAAAAAATGTGTCTGCCTTACTCCAGACAATGACCCTGAGTGGGAATGTCACACTTACTTAACCACTTGGTCTATAATGGAATTAATGTCCCCTCCAGCCCACACATGCACAGAGCTGTGATAAAGGTGGCCTTGACTCCAGAGGTGGTCAAAGGGCATGTGACAGACGAGACAATGATGAGGAAAAGCACTTGGGCCAGCCTCATAAAGTGTGCTGTGGTACACCCTCTGGAATGACCCCACATTTAATCAAAGATATACCTCCAGCATCCTCCTTAGCAACTCATTACATAAATAAATAAGAGTTTTTAACGAGTTATCTGCTAATAATGTAACAAAACTTTTCAGATTTTACTTTGTAACACACACGCACACACATATACACACTGAGCCTGTTGTTTTGCTTCTTCACTGTTCCCAGTCATGGAGAAATATAGGGCATTTGTCCGCTGACAGCACTTGTAAATGGCGAGAGTGATAACTGGAGAACAACAGCTCCAGATTCTCATCTCAGAGCACTAATAAGATGAGACGGGTGCTGTGTGCATGGGGGCAGGCAATATAATTAAGGTCTCTCCCTAGAATGTAATCTTTCAGGGAAGAGACTTGGGCGGGGAGCGAGACAGATGACGGGAGCGCAGAGGGAACAAAACACTCTCCATCTGGGAGCAGCAAGATGAAGGCCTGAGAGCTGGTATTCCATTGGGGAGGTAGGGAGGGAAAAGTGAGGTAAATGGGAGGTAATGCTAGGCCAGCTTCTTTTAGTTCCCCGGCTATTCAACTCAAACCTCCGTGGAGCCTCCATCAGAGCTGGTGACTGCTCCTGGCCCTCGAAAGAAAGATGATGGCATGAAAGGAGGGGTGAAAAAAAGACAGAAAAAAGAGTGGGAGTAGAAGATAATGGATGTTTGTTTATTTCATATACAGAACTGAGGAGCAGTAACCAAGGATGATCAGTGGTTGCTATGCATCCCTGAATTTTTTAGTTCCTGCAGAAAACATCCACTGCTGAGGACTACTATTACAATCAATCAAATCTGACATTAATGTCTCATCAGAATATCAACACTTATGTAAAATATCAGCCTGCTGGTTCACTCACAAGAAGCCTAGCTATTTCAGTTTTACTAAGGCAATCCAGACAACCTCACACTTGGTTTACAAACTGTCAACATAAATTCTCACTGTTAATCTCCCGAATGGCCGTGCGGGTGCACTGAATTTGTTTACATTTGAAGCTGTTACCCGTGCCTGACAGGTCCTTATATTACAGCCTCTATGAACAAGATGTCTCTTACTGCAGATGTTTCCTTGGTTACATTAGGTAGCAAAGCTGCCTAGTTCTACAGAGATGGTCAATTAGGCAAGTACATAATTTCCGAAAGGAGGCCTTGGAGAAACAGCACATTAATCATTCATAAATCCATTAGCTACAGTATTTGAACTCAAAACAGCAAAGGGTAACAGAGGAAAAGTAAAAATATGGTATTAATGATACACCGACCAGTCAATTGGAAGTGTGCCTCACTTAGAAAAGAGGTTTTATACCTCAGTGGGACTTGCCTTGGTAAAATAAAATTAAAATACCTTGGAAAATGGCAGACATTTTCTTCTTGTAGATGGCAAAGTCGGTCTCAAGGAAGACGCAGAAAATGACCCGTGTGATCTGCACAGAAAAACAAAGAGATTAAAAACAAAATTTTTATTGCCTAATTACATGACATAACAACAGGGCAAATTTAGATCCGATGATAGTCTGTATCAACAAGATACAATCACAAATCCAATTAGTTACTCTCCCAAAGACCACCCAAACACAAGCCTTGGAGACAGCTTTCAGAGAATATTACAACCCATTACATCAGAAAAAGCATTACTGAATGGTGCTGTTGGTTAGAGCAGAGCAATATGCCCCAGTATCAGGCAAAGAGCGATGAGATGACATGGCAAAATTAAAGATGAACAATTGAGAATATTGAAAATTTTTTGTCCGCCTCTCAGGAACATGAAGCCAGAACAGAGAATAACCAAATTTGATACTGAAAGCTCAAACAGCTATCATAGAAAGATAATTTACGATGTTGAGTGAAAGCATGTTATTATTGGTTATTTGGTATTTTTTACCTCCACCATTTTGTTTTTCAACAATGTAAAATGATCATATGGTTTGAGAGTATTTTTTATCTAAAAATGTAAGAGATTCCTACTTTTCAGCTTAAGTTAAACAATAAATTGCTATTCAAACTGAAATAAACTCTTAACTCAGTACATTTTCTTTTCATAATTGCTGATATTTTGACGACATTAAAAGCATTACCACCACAACTCCATTAAACATAATATTTTAGATTACTTCTATAATACCAAAGCCAAAGAGCAGACCATTGTTGACCATTTGTAGCATCAATTCCTGGTCAACACCACCAGGTCAATAAAATATTTGTAATATTCCAGTGGCAAAACTATTTATTCTTACCATCTTTATGTCATGCCAAATGATTTTTTTTTTTACACAAAACGTGCAAACTTTAAGTTTAATTTAAACTCCAAAAGCATCAATTGAAAAATTATAGAAAAAAAGCTAATTCTTTCACAAATTAGCCCAGTGTTTAAAACACAATGAAGGACGTTGATAGATGTGGACATATTCAGAGGAATCAGCTTTACTGGCCAAGTATATATATGCGAATGGCAAATTATGGCAATTTCAAATGCCGGACTGAAATCTTAAGTAACAATATGTCTTTTGCATGACCTTAATGGGCCAATACAAACATCAATTAACATCAGGAGTATAATGTTATCCTGTGTTAAAGTTAGTTTATGCAGGTTGTGACCTACACTTTATTTATTTATTTAACCTTTACAGTATTCATCCAGGGAAAAATGAGGTCAAGGACCTCTTTTACAAGGGCGCCCTCCTCTACAGTCAGTTTCTGTCCTGTGCACACTGGCATGATCTACTTAGTTTCTGCTCCTTTCTTTGAGGAATTCCTCACTCCTTGCAGACTCGGGATTCAGTCTTTCCCAGTACTTATAGCCTCCTGTTTACTAGACACGGCTGCCTAATACTGGGGGAAAAAAAGCAAGAATAACATCTTTTAATATGGGTAAGTTTAAGTGATGTATAAACGTCACTTATTTAATCAGCAACCACACAAATCCGGAGAGCGTTCATTTCTTCAAAAATAAACATTATAAACAGGAGGACGAGTTTGTTAACTTAAACTGTGATATAGCCAAGTACACTTGCCATACTGTGATTACTCTATAAAGAGCAGTTGAAATACTGCAGAGAAAGAGGTCACCTCTTTTGCTTTCACCTTTCCTCCAGTGGAGTCTTAGGTGTGTAGGCATCAGTCACAGTCAGAGATGCTCTTCACATCACAGCTGCAGATAATCATTGAACTGAATAATGGAAATTTTACACAATAGCCATACGACCAAAATGGTAGCTATCCATCCATCCATCCATCTCCTACCCCCAACACAAAGAGACACAACCGCCTCCATGCATGAGACTGCATGGGAGCTTTCCAGCGTTAGTTCCATCCCTGACCCTTCCCAACACAAGGATCTGATTCAAAGAGGCACCCTTCTTGTGCTCATACATACATATATCTATTTAATAGTTTATGATCTGTGCTTTGGACTAAATGTTAGGAGCTGCATCCAAATGGCCACATTTTATTTTGCTAGATGTCTTGGGGGGCTTTGTTCAAAAAATGTAGACTCAGGCTCTCAACCCCCAAGAGAAAAAGAAAGCTTTAAGTCACCTTTGAAGTCGAGGGCTTGCTGACAAACAGAAAAGTGATAATACACCAAGACAGTGCATACCACTGGGTGCTGGAGGGCCACAGGACAGCGCTTCCCCGGGAATTTCCATTACTCTTCTATGGCACTCCATTCTAAACCTGACTGCCCACTGTGTAACAGGATGAGTCTTGGCTTTATGTCTTACACACAGACGTGCCAATGTGGGCACCTGCACATGTACAAACACACAAAGATGCCTCTAATGTTGATTATACTTCTATATTATTATTTGATGTAATGAAGCAAAGGAAAAATAATACTCTGGGTCAACTGACAACTTGTGCTAAAACAAAACCAAATGGAAAATCTTAGTATCCACGTGATGTAGGCTCTTCTCTCTGGCTCCCTCTCCCCCTCTGTTAGTCTCTTTTTCTAGCCTGTTACAGCATGCCCATATTCTGCAGATTTCTTGACAAGTTTGTTTATTGTACAGATCCGAAACACAATGTATGGTCTTTGACATACATCAGCCAGATTAGGATGCTTAATGAAAACAGAAGTGCCAGAGTAGAACACTGGCATTTTCCTGTACACAAACAAACACTGTTGACTAAGGCTTCAAATGAGTCAAACACTGCAGAGAAGATGATCTGTGACTTTTTGCTCTATAAAATAAAATTCCACTAGTCTGTTCTTTAATGTCAACCAGAAAGAGGTTATTCACATATGCACATACTGCACTGAATAGTACAGTATATTTAAGTGGATGATATAAATTGGTACAGCAGAGAAAAAGCAAAGGGGTCAAAGTGAACAGGATTTAAATGAGCACCGCATGACTAAATTCTTCATTTCAGATTTTTGATTTTGAAGAGGATTATAAATATTTTGGTTTGAGGCTGTGAGGTGTGTGTCTGTGTGTTGAGTGAGCACCCTACAGCCGCCAAGGTTGAAAAAGTTAATGGAAGACTAATTAGAAAGCTGGGATCACTACGTGCTAGCCTGCCTAGTCATTACTCATCCCTGATTGGAGGTCCTTTGCCAGAGGCTGAGCACAATATGACTAGGTCCCCTGGTTGCATATGGGAGGCGTGGTCATGTTGACAGAAACGTGTTCTGCACAATAAGGTGCAAGACTGTGTAGCTGCCCTGACCGGTCGCTGTTTGACCTGTACTTGGTGGAGAATGAGCCAACTCTGGGAAAAGCTAGGTTCAGTGGATTTTTTGACATAAACAGTGTTTCCTCAAAAAAGATTAATCAAAATGAATAAACTGCATTATGGAGACACTGTGCATGAGCTTATTAATATGATTTTCACAAGAAAATACGCCTATAATTAAGAAAAAATCAAAGTGATATGTTGAAATATTTCCAATTGATTATATCAGTTTGATGAGTCCTAGACAATCTATTAAGAGTTAAGTTGAACCACTTAGCTTCTCACTACACTTGCAAAACTCAAAAATGCAGTGAGCGCATACACTGAAAAATACATTAATTTAAGATGCAGACATTGTTTGTCAACACATTTGTGGTACAGTGAACTATTTAATGATGCAGGTTAAAGATCTTGTTGCAATTATTTCATTTAAATTCTCTGTAGAACACTTTGTTCATCTAGTCTAATCAATTCAAAAACCAATGCCTCTTTGCTGTAATTGCGTTCTGAATAAATGATAAGATGAGACTAATTAAAATGATAATACCAGGGGTTCAACCTACACCTTTGTAACTCATTTACATGGCACATGAAACACAGAAAAATGAGATTTAGGGGTGGCTAGACCTGTCAGTTTATGGCAGATGCATGTGCCACAATATTAACGAGCAGCACAAAACAACATGAAAGTGTCTTTTGCTCACATTTCGTTTCATGAAATAGTGTATGTGATTTTTAATTTGTGTTTCGGTGGCTCATCATTCTAGCACAGGACTCACTAGGTGCCCCAGTCTCCTACTGGCTGGCTAACAGATGAGCTGTCATAGCTGGCCACCCATGCCCATAATTACATCGGGGATACTGCCAGCAGAATCTGACGTGCAGGCACAACGCACACACTTTTGCTACTTGCATTTCCTTCTTGATTCTGTCACAAACAATAATAAGGACAGGTTGCCCTAGCGTGTCTGCTCCAGCTGGAGCCCAAACCCATGGGAGATCTATGTCTGTGTGTCCTGTGCTGCCTCGTTATCACGGCAGCGGCTGATGCAAGGTCCTGAATGTGTCCAGATGACAGTGACAGGAGACTGATATACAGCATTAACACTGGTGGAAATGATTCATTCATTCACTTCATTTGCTTGTCTTCAAGGTCGTAGAGAGTAAACACCAGTATAAATAGATGGAAGGGAGCCTGGGCAGGTCACCACTCCATCACACTGGCTGGGCCTTGTGAACTGTATACATCATTCATTCAGACACACACATACAGAGTTTTGTTTACAAGTTTTTCATCACTGACATGACATATAGGGCACATGAGTGCTGTGTGTGTGATTGTGCACTGATAGTACATGTTACTGTTCAACACAGATTGAATAATTCCAGTGAATTATTCCTGAGCCAAAAATATCTGTCCATAAAACACAGCCTTCTAGCTGCATCATCAAAGCCATGATCAGTGAGCACTCATCTCCTTTGTTGTCAGCGCCACTGGATTGGATAGAAGGTTCACTTTGAGACAGGTGGACCATATCCAGGCCATATTACTGATGTAATTACACACACCTGCGTCCCCCTCACCATAGTACACAGAGCCTGCAGCTTGGAAAAGCACAGAAAACCTCAGCTTGGGTCTGACACACAACCACAGTCAGAGATGTGTAAACACTCAAACATTACTGGATCCACCATAACACTACGACACTATGTGGCTTAAAATCCGATTGTTCCTGTGACATCCCTTGTG